TCATTTTGGAGTTGCGAAAGAGAACTCGAGCTCGAGCTTGGGATTCTCGAGCTTGAGAAAAAGTATCAACTTCTAGAGGCTTGAAACTACTTGGCTCAGGCTCAGGCTCAGGCTCAGGCTCAGGCTCAGGCTCTAGTAAAATTCAAATTTAGAATCTTTTGCTTCAATAGAATCCATTTGAATAGAGAATTCCTGTGTTATTATTTGAAATTGGAGTTGAACCAATTAAATCAATAGACTAAGAGCTTTGTCTTTGTCTATTGGTTTTCTCGTTTCACTTGACTTTTTGCTAGATAACGATTGGCTTTGGCTTTAACTTTGGCCTAGGGTAAGCCAAAGTTGATTGACAAGTTTGACAGCTCTCAATTGAAGCTTCTCAATTAAAGCTTTCAACTTATTCTAAAGCTCAATCCGAAGAAATAAACTCGAGCTGTTTGAGTAGAGTTTAAAATGTCAAAATTGAGCAAAATTGAGCAAAATTAAGAGACTTCATCGCCTTGATGATGTTTTGATTAAGAATTGACATCGAATTGTCAGCAATTGTTATCGAATTGTCATCAATTGACATCAATTGACATCGAATTGTTGAAAAGCTCCGTCTCTACTTTCAATTGCAAAGCTCAGAGTCTTCTTCAGAGTCAAACTAAGTCTTCTCAAAAAAACAAGTTGTTAAATCAAGTCTTTTGAACTTCTTTAGTCATCTAGTTAGAAGTGATCAGTATGCTAGAATTGAGTCAAAACTCAAATAAGAGCTCAGTGTCAGCTCAGAGTCAGCTGAGAGAGCTCAGTGTCAGCTGAGAGAGCTCAGTGTCAGCTGAGAGAGCTCAGAGTCAGCTCAGAGTCAGCTGAGAGAGCTTAGTGTCAGCTGAGAGAGCTCAGAGTCAGCTTAGAGTGAGTTGAGAGAGCTCAGTGTAAGCTGAGAGAGCTCAGAGTCAGCTTAGAGTCAGCTGAGAGAGCTCAGTGTAAGCTGAGAGAGCTCAGAGTCAGCTTAGAGTCAGCTGAGAGAGCTCAGAGTCAGCTCAGAGTCAGCTGAGAGAGCTCAGAGTCAGCTGAGATAGCTCAGTGTCAGCTCAGAGTCAGCTGAAAGTCAAAATTCAACTTCATCGTCTTGAGAAGCTTTTCAGGTAACGATTGGGTAAGCCAAAGTCGTTGAAAGGCTCCATCTCTGGGTAGCTGATTAGACAAAGCTTTCAGTGACTAGATTTAGCAGAGATTTTCTATTAGACTTCATTTGATGACTAGATTTCATCGTATAGATGAAACTGTAGCTTTGAATCGTTTTTTGAAAGCTTTCTAGTCCTTGATTCATTAGATCATTTCATTAAAAGCCTTGACTCATTTTCCCAGTCCTAGACAGGCATTTTAAATCCAAAATCTTCATTTCCTTCTCTTCTTCTTTCAATATTCTTTTAGAAATCGATTTTAAACGATTTTGATCTTGATCGATTTTGAGCTGAAACTCTGGAATTGATGGAATTGATGGAATTGACGGACAGATGGGACTAATTCTCCATTTCTTCAAAATCCAAAGCTTCTCTTCATCGAATAAACTTTCTCATCTTTCGATTCAATTTCAAATTTTGAAATTTCTCTCATTTCTCAGTCGAAAACTGGGCACAAAGCCAAATTCAGTGGAATGGCTGTGAAGTGACAACAACGTACTCGACGAGCCAAAATTCCTCCACCGTTCAATGCGCCTTGACGTGGACGACTTGTCGTTGCCAAAGCTCTCTTCACGGCTCTCTAAAAGATTTTTATAAATAAACAGTTATCAAAACAGATAAAGATCTTGATAAATGAATGGTTTGCAAGTTAGATAAGAGTCTTTATCTTTAAGTCAGATAAAGATCTTTGACTTCAAGTCAGACAAAGATCTTGATCTTTAAGTCAAATAAAGATCTTTATCTTTAGCTCAGTTAAAGATCCTTATCTTCAAATCAGTTAAAGAGCTTTATCTTTAAGTCAAATATTAATCATTTATTATTAATCAATTATTAATCGTTTATCATTAAGCCAGTTAGAGATCTTTATCTTTAGCTCAGTGAAAGATCTTTATCTTTAAGTTAGTTAAGGGTCTTTGTCTTTAAGTCAGCTAAAGGTCTTGATCTTTAAGCCAAATAAAGATCTTTATCTTTAACTCAGATAAAGATCTCTATCTTTAAGTCAGTTTAAGATCTTTATCTTTAACTCAGATAAAGATCTTTGACTTCAAGTCAGACAAAGATCTTGATCTTTAAGTCAAATAAAGATCTTTATCTTTAGCTCAGTTAAAGATCCTTATCTTTAAATCAAATGAAGTTCTTTACCTTTAAGTCAGTTAAGGATCTTTATCTTTAAGCCAGTTAAAGATCTTTATCTTTAAGTCAAATAAAGATCTTTATCTTTAAATCAAATGAAGATCCTTATCTTTATCAATCTTTATCAGCAAACTTGCATTAATCAAATTCTAATCAAATTTGAGTCAATTCCGGTAAGTTGTAATCAAAATGGCATCAAAATGGATCAAAATCGGTTAGTTTTTGATCTCTTACTAGAGATTTACAGCTTTTCAATTTACACCTAGCTTTTGAGCCTAAAAATAGTTCTTATCTAAATAGTTCTAAAAATAGTTTTTTGCGCTGTTTCCGAATATCTAAATGGTTTGGGACTGACATGTTAAAATTCGCAAGATCTTCAACGTCAAAGTTTACACAGAATTCTCAAACATTTATAGTCGTCATCGTCAAAAAATCGTCATGGTCAACAAATCGTCATGGATAGTCGACTATGGATAGTTAAATTGCTTTTGCGCTGTTCTCAAGACTTGAGCGCATGGCCTACTGGTTAGTTAGCTCGTTTTTAGTTCTTCGCCTCACTGGTTCAAATCCGGTTGCAGACTTTTTTTTTTGTTTTAGTGTTTAGTGTTGCTTAAATTCTGTGTAGGAGGTGAAAATCTTGTGAATTTCACCTAAAAACAAGATATTCTAGATTAGCGCATAAAATTGGACTAAAAAAAAAGCCATATCTTGGTTTAAAAACCAGCTTAAAAGTATTCCTTTTAAGTATCTAAAAAGCTAACTTGTTCAGCTAGCTTTTTAAAAATTTTCAGCATATAACCAATGTTTTTCTCAGGTTTAGCGCTTAATTTCATTAAATTCTAAAGAAAAAAACTCAGAACAAATCTTTTAAACTTTATAATTACAGTTCTTAGGATTGAAAGTGAAGGAAAAGTTATCTAAAGATATCTCTCAAAAGCTCATTTTCTATCCTTTATTTTCTTGCAATAAAACCGTTTAAATCTTACCTTAACCATAAGGTTCAACATTCGATTTTGTGGTGCTCCGGCGTTGATATTTCCCCGGATTGAGTTAAGGTTCATTCGACTGCCAGCACGGCCTGTAGGAGCTGAACGTCGCTGACGATTGAAAGCTCCACGCGGAGCAACACCTCGAGAAGGAATTCCACGAGTCATCCCAACATTTCCACGACCACCTCGTGCGCCATGAAACTGAAAAGTTTGAATCCAATGGGAAACTGACCGAGGAAAGTCAAGGAAGTCAAGGAAAATTAGTTTTAAGTCAAAAATTTGTAAAAGATTCCGGGCTAAGAGTGTTTCTCAGTATAAATCTTAGAGTTAAACAAGTTTAGCTCAAGGGGTAAACAGGTTTAGCTCAAGGGGTAGATAAAGTTAGCTCAAGGGATAGACAAGCTTAGATGAAGGGCTAAACAAGCTTAGATCAAGGGGTAAACAGGTTTAACTCAAGGGATAGACAAGTTTAGCTCAAGGGATTAGCTGATTAGCTGATTAGCTGATTAGCTGATTAGCTGGTTACCTTATTAGCTGGCTACCTTATTAGCTGATTAACTGACTAGCTGATTTCTGTCTTTCTATGTTTAGACCAAGATCAAGTTGACATATTGAGCTTTATCTAGTTCAAGTATGACAATTGAATTCATTTATCGCTTACCACTTTGCCCCTTCTCATTCCCGCGCCTCTCGTTCCTCTACCACGAGATGCTTGCCTCTCTTTTCTGTTAAATTTGATGACTTCATCGAGCGACATATTCACTTTTGATTCAGACATTTTGAAGAATTGTTTTGAAGTTATTTCTGGAATAAAAAAACCGGTACAATTAAAGATTTAAATTAAAAAAAAAACACTGAAAAGTTTAAAAACATTGTCTTATCATGAAGTTCAAAAGGTTTAAAGCATGAAAAAGTGAAAATGATAAGCTCAAAATGATTATTCTCTACGTAAATTGAGTATTTAAACCGTTTGGAATCAAAAATTTCGTAAAATATTTTGATTTTCATGATGAAATTCTCAAAAAACTTCCCAAAAACCAAGCCGATTATTGAAAATTTCGAAATTTTTATTGAATAAACAGTTTTAAAACTGTTTTTTGATAAGAATTTGGAGGTTTTTAGTGAATAGACAGTTTCAAAACCGTTTTTTGATTAGAATTTGGAGGTTTTTAGTGAATAGACAGTTTCAAAACTATTTTGTAATCAAAATCTGAAAATTTTACATAAAATTGAGCTTAGTAAAAGAGTAAAATCGATAGATTGGTGAGTTGCTAAACGTTCGCTGACAAGTGGATCGGCATACTGACTGGGGTGTAAAGAGAAATATTGGGAAAGTTGAGGAGGGCTTTGGTGGGAAAAGGGATGACACATTGAGAAAGACGATCTCTTTGCTCTTTCTCTTTCTCTTCCTCTTTATCTTCCTCCTTCTCTTTCTCTTTCTCTTTCTCTCCCTCTTTCTCTTCCTCTTTCTCTTTCTCATTATGAGTACTGCTTTACAAGCCGAGCTGACGCGACGCAACCGCTTCGTGAAAAGAGTACGGTAACTGAACAAAGTTCTTGTTATCCATGAAATAGCGTGCAATAATAATGTTACTAAAGTAATTCTAGTAATGATAGCCTAGTATTTCAACTCTTGACAATCCTTTGAGCTAAAAAAACGAGTTTTGAGAAGTTCGAGATAAGTAGCTCTAGACTAGAAATTCCAGCTCGAGACTTTCACATGTTCGATAAGCGTTTGCATCTCAGCGGTACCGCAAAATCGTTGGCCTGATGAGATTTTGACCATCGATTGACCTGTAAAAATTCGATATTAATATCCTAATTTAGAAATGAATAGGCTAACTTGGAACTTAATAGGCTAATTTAAGACTTAATAGACCAATTTAGAACTTAATAGACTAATTTAGGACTTAATAGGCTAATTTAGAAATGAACACGCTAATTTATAAAAATGAATAGCCTAATTTAGCAATGAATAAGCTAATTTAGCAACGAATAGGCTAATTTGTGATTAATTAAAAGATTTTAAAAGATTCAGGACGATTTTATGCAAATTTTAACGAAAAAACAAAAAACGTTTTTCCTATGCCGGGAATCGAACCCGGGCCGCGTGGGTGAAAACCAGACTAGAAATTCCAGCTCGAGACTGTCACATGTTCGATAAGCGTTTGCATCTCAGCGGCACCGCGAAATCGTTTGCCCAGTTTTCTGGCACACCTCGGGGAATTTAATCGGCGGAAAGGGGTCATTGTGGGGAAGGGAAAGAGTCCGGTCAAGGAAGGAAGGGGGAAGATTCTTCAAAAAGTCGAAGATTCCTTCAAACTTTTTCAGGAAAAACGTCTCAAAAAGAAAAGTTTTAAGAAAAACGCTTGCAAAGTTTGGGCGCCTAATCGGGAATCGAACCTCGGGGATAGATGGGTTCTTTCTCTTCCTTTCCTTGACTGGAATCTTCCCCCTTCCTTTCCTTGACTGGAATCTTCCCCCTTCCTTCCTTGACTGGAATCTTTCCCTTCCCTTCCTTGACTAGAATCTTTCCCTTCTCTTCCTTTCCTTGACTTCCTTGGTGTAAAGGTAAGGTGTAGAGGTTCTTGTGAACCATTGAGAATAGGCAAAAAATAAACATAGTATCGTGTTCTCCATGTTTGCATCTTCACCGAGAAATCGTCCGGCCAGTTCGACCGGACGATCGACCATTCCCTTGTGAGAATGATCTGTATATTTGCCTTTTCTTGCCAAATTGATCCGAGCAACTTGACGGGTAGCCATGCAGTTTTGCTGTTTTTAAGACAATTATCAAGATCATCAACGGGAAAAGGGGCTGAGACAGACATTTGTGCATCTGCGAACACCTGAAAAGCTCTGAGGATAACTGGTTCCAATAGAGCCCAAGAAAATCTTCGAGAAATTTTACAACATTGTGACCGTTTGTCAAAAGTATCGTATAAGAATGGTATTTTAGGGAGCATCAAGAAAATCACGGACTGTTTTACTCATTTCATCGATTGTTTTCATGTTTGTTATGATATTTATATTATTTTGTTGAATACTTAAATAGAAAGATTTAAATTTTAAATATTTAGCAATTAAAAAGAGAAGAAAGCTTAAAAAACACTATAAAAAAGCTGCTCAAAAAAAAGAAAAACTTAAATGGAGTCAAACTGTCGGAAAATTAGCAGAAAGCTTTTTTTTTTTGCTCAGAATGATACGAATATTCTTAAAAAGCTGATTTCTTTATAGTTATGGACCTTGTTCTCAACTTGTACTTGTTCTCAACTTGTTCTCTTCAATCTTATTCTCAATTTGTTTCCAATTCCACAAAAGAGCCCCAATTTATGCAATTTTCCGCTTAATTCCCTCTTTGAATGAAACAAACGAACGGCCCAATGGAATTCGAGTCGAGAAAAGAAGAAAATGAAAAGAAAGAAGCGATAAATGGATGTTTCGCACGCAAATCGACACTCACTTGAGCAATTTTGAGGGTAATTTTCGCGAAAATTTGTCGCAAAATTATAATTGTCTAACTTCAAAGCCTTAAAAAGACTACAAATACTCAGATTTTGATTGTTTGTTCTAGACAATTCATAACGATGGTTCTTTTTGGTGTACTTTTTGATAACATCCATTTTCTGCATCAAAAATTGGCAGCTCTCCTTTTATAGCACATTTTAAACTTCATTTTTCTATCAATATGATTTTTGTTTGATGATATTTGATGAAAAATTATGGATTGAGTTGACTAGAAAGCTTCAAAATGTTTTAAAACGCTTCTTTCTAAACCGGCGGAAAGACCCTGATGGCCTAATGGATAAGACAAAAGACTCCTGCCCACAGGATGAAGGTTCGATCCCCCGTCCACCTTTTTGTTTTTGCTTGATGATATTTGATGAAAAATGATGGATTGCGCTGACTTGAAAGCTTCAAAACAGATGCTTTAAAAGGCTTCTTTCTAGCCGGTTCAAGAGGCCTTGGTGGCCTAGTGGATAACGCGAAAGACTCCCGCTCACGGGCTCGGGGTTCGATCCCCTATCCAGCTTTTTGTTTTTGTTTGATGATGTTTGATGAAAAATGATGGATTGAAAGCTTCAAAATGCTTTAAAAAGCTTCTTTCTAGCCGATTTAAGGGACCTTGGTGGCCTAGTGGATAACGCAAAAGACTCCCGCTCACGGGGTCGGGGTTCGATCCCCTATCCAGCTTTTTGTTTTTGTTTTTGATCTCTTTTTTTTCTTTTCCTTTTCTTTTCAAGCAACTTCTATTCTAACAACTTTATTTAACAGCTAATTGCTTTTCGTGCTTTTTCTAAAGCTCATGCTTTACGTGAAATGCTTTACTTGAAATTTATGCTCCACTTGAACGACAATACTCAGCAAAACACTCAAGAATGGGCTTTGTCGGGATATTTCCGCTTTTTTTTTTCTTCTTTTACACATGCATAAGCACTCTTCTCTTTTCCATCTAAAAAGAGACGTAAATTGAGTTTTTTTTTCCCTCACAAGATGATAGAAGGCCATCGTTTTTCCGTCCAGATGATGCTCTTTTTACTTTTCTTCTTCTTAATCCTTGAATTTTCTATTTTCTATCACTTCTTTATGAATTCGAGCTGTACTTTAAGCTGTACTTTAAGCTGTACCTTAAGCTGTACTTTAAGTTGTACTTTAAGTTGTACTTTAAGTTGTACTTTAAGTTGTACTTTAAGCTGTACTTTAAGCTGTACCAAGTTGTACTTTAAGCTGTACTTTAAGTTGTACTTTAAGCTATACTTTAAGCTGTACTTTAAGCTTGTAAACGCATTACTTCTAATAGATTGAATTTCGATTTTCTTTTGGCTTTTATTCCAGAAAGATTTAATTTTCAAAAGAGCAAAATCTTTTTTGTGCTTTATGTTCATTTATAAACGTATCCCATCTGGCGCTGAGAATCCGAATGGAGAAAAAAGAGAGTCGCTGAGCCAGAAAAGGTGTGTTTACAAATTTAAGCACAAAGTTCTCTTCAAAGAACTTCAAAAAGAACCGACTTATCGTCCAGAGCGTGTAAATGAATCAGGTTTTTAAACAAGGCAAATTGAAAATCGAGTGAGATATTAAAAAGATTTAAAACTTTAGAAAATGAAACAAAATCCAAACACCAGCTGGTCAAAGACGGTTTTTCTTTTTGCCTTTTTTCCTCTTCAAATTATCCTTTTCCAAGTAAGTCAAGGTTTTTTGGGATTAGCTCAATGGAGAGAAGAATATGCAGCAAGTCAAGGGCATTTCTCGTTACTTTTTAAGAATCTTTGACTCAAATTTGTGTAACTCTTTTGCGCTAGAAAGGATACGTTTTGACTTTTGACTTATCCATGTTCTTTTGAGTTTGGAGCTTGTCAGAGTTGGTCTTGGCTTGTCAGAGTTGCTCCGTAGCTTGTCAGAGAACTAAAGCTTGTCAGAGTTGATCTGTAGCTTGTCAGAGAACTATAGCTTGTCAGAGTTGATCTATAGCTTGTCAGAGCTGGTCTTAGCTTGTCAGAGTCGGTCTTAGCTTGTCAGAGTTGCTCCGTAGCTTGTCAGAGAACTAAAGCTTGTCAGAGTTGATCTGTAGCTTGTCAGAGAACTATAGCTTGTCAGAGTTGATTTGTAGCTTGTCAGAAAACTATGGCTTGTCAGAGTTGATCTATAGCTTGTCAGAGAACTATAGCTGGTCAGAGCACTATAGCTTGTCAGAGTTGATCCAGAGCTTTGTCAGAGTTGAATCACAACCATTTCTAGACAGTCCTTTATGAATTCAATGCAAAATTGTTGTTGCCA